TGTATATTCCCGATCGAAAACCGACAAGGCAACGGGCTCGTGGCCCGGTGAGTAGAGGCGTTGACTTCTAAACCAACAGGTCGCGAGTTCGAGGCTCGGGTGTTCCACACTTCGGGCTTGGGTATGGCTGGCTGACGACGGCTAATAAGCCAGAAATGGCCATTCCAGTCTCCCTTGTCTTTGTCGGTAATGTTATTCTGCCCATATATATATATATGTATACAAATCTACCCGCATTCTTCGTCGTGCCTCCTCGCTGCTGTTATAACTTGGTCGACTTCGGCCTGGTAGTTGGTTGCCCGTTCGTGAACTTTGCTACCCATATGGAGGCTGTTTGTTTCGAAAAGCCAGTAGATCGGTGTACGTTCGTTCCTGATTGAATAAATATCTGATCTGCAGCGACAGAGAATGACAGGTGTCGAGGTACTGATGAACTGGGTTCGATTAAGTGTTTATAACCCATCCGGTCACCCCAATGGTAGACCGACTGCGCCAGTGTGTCTGTCCGCATGGCTGTGTTTCTGGCCCCAGCTGGTGGTCAGGGTTATGATTGTCTGAATGAAGACCAAAGAAGTCCACAGTAAAGATGCGAGACCACTTATCCCAAGTCGTCACGCATGTTCTAGAAACTGGGCACAAATTTGCTTGCGATGAAACGCACATTGTCAGTTTCTGTCCATATAAGAAAGGCCGAGAACCTCTAGAGGCCATTCAGTCTGATGGCTCATGCATCAATCGGCTCACCCATCTGGATGCTACGTGCGCAAATCTCAAAGAAAAGTGGGAGAGGTAATAGCCAATCAAAACGTGATGTCGACCCACAACATCGACTCATTCACAGGACTGAAAAGGCAGTATCGATTTTTCGGTCATATTTAGATGTTAACTGTTTTTCACGATTCCTACACGTCTGACGACGACCTGGGGTGCTAGCGTCAAAAATTTTCGAAATAAAGTTTGTTCGATTTTCAAAAGGACTCATATTTCCTTAAATTATAGTTTCTTGGGATGCCCATTTTATAGTATATACATATATATGCAGAAAAGTATTACCGACAAGGATGATGGAGACTGGAGTGGCCATTTCTGGCCTACTAACCGTCCCTAACTACTGAGCCACAGGGTCGCTGACCCGTCGGTTGCGATCGGGGATATACAATGGTGGAGGGACGCACAACGACAACTCATGCACAAATCGGCACATCGAATTAGGCGCCGTGTACAACAATCTCGAAGAAAAATGGAAGCGTGCTATGGCTAACTCCACGTTCATTTATCGGTTTGCTTATTAACTGATGGTTCAAAAAGTGCATCAACGTCTGTCTGAGCACGTTTTACGTGTCAGTTGTGTGAGCTGACTCCGCTTATCTGACATGAAAAGTGTCTAGCCCAAAAACCACACTGAACACTACTTTTTCGCATGATGAGAATTAAGGTTTGGGCAGGACTCTATTCTGGCATAACTATGCGAAATATGTCTTCGATCAGTTCCCGTGAGACCCATGAACTGTGTAGCAAGTTCGCATTTGAGTGGGAATCGCATGCTTATATTCGAAATGAGCTGCTATAAAAATTCGCAGGACTACTCAAAGGTTATAAAGCTTAGCTCTTAAAGAG